CAAGTCACAGAAAAGAAAAAGACAGCATGCTAAATACCAACCGTGTTAACTCCGAAGCGATACAGTACAATTCGTGTACCTCTTGTTCTCTGCTAATTGCTTAAGAGAGCCTGCTCTGGAGAAGACAGCAACAGTAGCCGGGCCCCAGACTTCTTTAAATGCCAGCTCTTAATAACAAACTCCAAAAAGGTCTTAATTGCATTTACCAGGAGCTCATGAACTTTAAAAGTTGTTAATCAGATTTCCATGTAAATGGAATGACGATTAAAGGTTAAGTACAGGTTTCTAAAATTTCAGAAATTGAGAATATATTGCCCTTCATGTGGGGAGGTGGAGGTGGGGGGGACTCTATCAGCCTTGACAGGAACTAAACATCTTAATTAAAGATGCAGAAGTACCATGCTTATTTTTACATGAAGTTCTATTTTCAAATGTCAAAGTTAATCATGCACTTGACTAAAGATGTGCAGTAGTCACTCTGCCAGAGAAGAAATCCCTTAGTATTCTTTTCTGAGACAGCATCTGCAGGTATCCAAAAGTTTCTCTGGTGTCCCCTCAGACCTGATACCTGCCTACGCTGCTCAGAAACCTGAGACTCACGGTGAAATGCCTTCTACAGAGAGATCTTAATTGCTCTCCATCTGAGGAGTAATCTAAAGCCACACGTCTTCAATCAAGTCTGCTTCATATTTATGTGGCTCAGGAGAAACACGAGGTGCTTCCGCCATAAATTTGCTGCACCTGTGTCCCTGGAGTGACATGTTGACAAATGAACATGACATCTCCTCAAACTCCAATAAGAATTTATGATTCTTTGAAAGAATATATTTGATCAATTATAGTGTCATCACAGTTGAAAAGCAAAACCATGTCTTTGGAGTGCACTTCACAGAATTTGCGAGTGCTTGTATTCTGCAGTATGATAAATGACAGATCCCAAACCTCAGAGTCAGGTCCTCATTCTGGCTTTAATACTCAATCTCAGATTCTCCAGCTTAAGAGGAGCTAGGTACCACCACCCACTACTAAGCACAACGACGACCAAGAAGAACAGCTGTGTAGTGCTCTAGACAAAATAACTGCAGAACTCAAAATTGGAAAATATTTGGAGTGTAATATCTAGCCAGTAAAAATAAATTATTCTTTAAGTTAAGAATGCACTTATGGGAGAAAAAAATAATTCCTTCTACAATCCAATTATTTGTCTATTTTTGTTTCTGATTATGCTTTTAATTCTTTTTTATTTTTGTTCCTTCTAAATGTCTGAGAAAGGTTTGGTGTTTGCTCAATACAAAGTACCTACAGCACACTTTTTTAAAGCACGGGTTTTCAGTGTTCCTACCAAAGCCACAGCTACTACTAAATTATTTCTAGTAATTGTATGATCCGAATCCAATTTTACTATAGAACCAAAGCTTCTGTGTTAAAGAAATCCATAAGTGAAAAAGTAATACAACATAATGGGTTAGCCAACTTAAGGTGGGAAGCAGGGAAAGAAAGAAGTTTTAAATGGTTCTTTTTGGAAAATACCTCTGCCAAATTTATGAGGTCCTTTTATTTAGCAATATCTGTGACTGCCTCTCAAGAACTGGCACGACAATGGGACATATCAACTTGAAACTAGAATAGGAGCTCGCTCTTCCTGAAGATAAAGTTTCAGAGTTTTACACTGGGTCAATCCACTGTGTGTCAATAAGGCTTTTAATAAGCAATCTGAATGAGAAAATGATGCCACTCAGCGTGACAAGCTCTAGGCTACAGGGAGATGGGCGTGCTCAGCTCAGCGCTTGCTTCTTATTCCTGCCCCAGAGTGACCCACAGGACACAGTTAAGGCAGATGATCAGGAGTTCTGAGATTAGTCTGTGAGACAGAATTTCTCAGTAGAAAAGTGTCTCATTCTCCTTTGTATTTCTCCAAAGAAGCTTACACTGTGTTTTACTGTGTGTGTGTGTGTGTGTCTGTGTGTGCACACACGCACAATCAATCCCATCTGAGTAAATGGCTTTTATGCAGATGAAATCCATAAGGCATTTAGTATCCTGTTCTCCTCAAGTAGGTTTACCCAATAAGATAATCAGTACAAAGCTTCAGTAAAGACAGAACACAAAATTCCCAGAAACTGGTCTTTGAAAACAACCTTCTGTCAACCATTATCCAACCACCACAATATCCGCCACAGGCCACTAATCAGACTGACCTCTCCAGGGTGTCACAAAATCAAACAAGTGTGTCTGTCTCAAAATCATTCCAATATCTGTGCCTTTATCCATAGAGTCCTACTAACTTGAAAAATCATCTCATTGTCCTCTGCTACCAAATTCAATCACTTTTCAAGGCCCAGTACAAATTCTCACTGGTGTTTCCCTTCATTCAATAAGCATTTAAGAGCACAAGGCACTGTGCTGGGCCCTGCACACATACAGATGCATAGGACAGTTTACGCCCTGAAGGAGCTAAGCATTGCTCAGTGGTCTTCCATTCCTTTGTACCACAGCATTTAGTTTCTCTTTGGCTTACACAAATAACGCTGCAAATAAAACTAAATATTATAAACATTGCACCAAAAGTGTACATTCAAAAGCAGCACTGGAGTAGAGATTTCAGCCACTGACATGGCTCCCAGCTCTGTTCTCATACAGTCTTTGGCCTGTTCTCAGTAATTTCCTTTATTAAACAGTATTTATAAGTGTCTTTTACGTGGGAGGCACTACCTAAGTACCTTAATTTGTCATTCAGCCACTATGTGGAGTGACCTAGTTCTTCAAATCACCTATCGTGTCCTTTATCCTGGGCAATATGATACCTGACTGCATTCTGCTGGCAGCTGGAGCCCAACAGCAACCTCTGAGAACTCGGGAAGGCACAGCTACCATCAGGTACAAGGTGATTCTCTGCACCGCTCATAGAAGCTTGTGGACCTCAATCTATGTCATCTCCCAAATTTTCTCACACGAGACATTGGTTAGATAGTAGAGAATCCAGTTTTTTATTATTATCCATTCTACCTGGGTAGCTGCATCTGAAGTTTCTTTCCCTTCTGAAGGTGTTCAATGATACAGTCGCATGAATATAAATTATGATGATGTACTCTAGAAAGGCGACAGAACTTATAATTCCTGCGAGTGATGTACTTATGCAGTGCAGATATAATAATTAGTACCTATTTTGTTGGCCTTGGTACAGCTATTTTTTCTTCTGGACCCATGAAGCCATTATCTAAACATTTTCTAGCCACACCAACCCCTCTAGAATCTGGTGACTCATATAAATTACAGCGATTCCAGAATTCACTTACAATAACTTGCAAGCAGAAATTAGAACTGTTAATGACAATGTATAGGCTGGGATACAGTTGCTTTCATTTTCTCTGCATTTTCTTTCAACTGAAAAACATGTATTTACCTTTAAACAACAACTTCCATGGAGAAAGGCAAAACACAGCTAGATTGAATACAAAATGTAGCATAGCAACCAAAGACATTCCGGTTTAGCCCAACGTGGAAGGAAACAGGCTGCTCGCATAATTAATTTTTTATAATTTATATTCTCAGAGCATAAGGCTATTATAATCAATAATCTTCAAATTAATAAATATCATAGGTAAATAATATTTTTATAATTTGGGACATGAAGAGGGAAGTAGCTGCACTGCTTACGTTTTATGGAATTGTTTCTCTTATTGCTTGAAACACTGCTAGGACTATAGGTAATCATTCAATTTTTAAATCAAAATAGTAGTAAATTAAAACCCATAAATCTATAACATGCTAATTATACATATTAACATGCAGTTTTCAGTGAGTACTTTTCTATCTGGACAATCACTAGCTCACCCGCGCGCGCGCGTGTGTGTGTGTGTGCAATCACATTACTTGAATTTTTGGATTCATCAACTCTGAAACACCTTTCAAAGAAACCTAGAACTCTCCATAATAAAAAAGGTCCTAAACGTAACTTTAGAAAATACCTTTTTTCCCTCATGTGTCAGTCAAGATACGCTAACTAAAAATCAATAATAGACATCTAGATGGTAGTATTCCTGAGCTTGATGAGCTGAAAGTTGAGTCAAAGATGAGTTGAAAGTTGGCAAGATAATAATTCTATTAAATAATAATTCATATTGCTCTATTTTTAGCTGGGAGGAAATTTTATATTTTGTAACCTTCAGCTCAACAATGAACCAAAGCGAATCCTCTTAAAGAAGGAAGATACCGTTGGAGAATTAAAAATATAATATAAAACACTAATACAAAATATAAAACTAAAGAGTTATTTCAGTATGGAAGAAAATTTTTTTTAGAAATGAATGAAAGAAAACATCTCCAAATCTGGGAAATGAATATTTAATGTTTTCAGTCCAGTTACATGTGAATACAGGTAAAAATGTAATAGTAGCCTGTCTTTAGTTTTCTTTAATATCGACATTTAAAAGCAGCCTGAAACACGCAATTTAGGACTTAATCATATATTGTCTTGAAATGTCAGTTGCTTTAACAATATGTTTGATCTCAGCTAAGATGCACCTAAGAACGAGCATGGTCTTACACTTTCTCTTCATCTCCTGCACAGAGGCTGCTCAATTCCAACATGAATAAAACACTTTTTATATAGAAAGAAATCATCCTGCTTTCAAAATAAAGTTGTGCATTTAACATTTAACATATTATTCTTAATTGTGTCAGAGTTGTATATTCTAAAGAAAATTTTCTAAAGCAAAAAAAAAGTTTGCTAAAGCAACTAATTAACCAAGAGATGATAAGTATATAGAATATTCTCTTTAATACATGTTTAAAAGGTTACTAACTTATATGTTCATAATTACTTTCCTTGGAAAGTCTTGTTAAAATAGGCACAACAGAAAAAAAATTAAGGAGATTCTCTGGATGCTTTATAAATTTAATCACTAATTTCAGAGAAAAGACTTTAATTAAGTGAAAATATAGTGTTTAAAATTTTCAACAGAGTTTTAATTTTTAAAGGATTAAAAATCTGTATGCTAGTGCTTGCTTTGGCAACATAGATACTAAAATTGGAATCATACAGAGAAGATTGGCATGGCCCCTGCTCCTAGATGACACACAAATTCATGAAAAGAAAAAGAGCAAAGGTCAAAGAAAAGGTAAAGATTTCTTTTGATGACATGCTGATAGCAATATACAAAATGCAATCTCCAACAGCGAGTAAGCCTCAGTGCCCTGTGCTATCAATTATCACTAAGAATTTTTACTATAGAACTTTCTACTATATTCTATGTAGAATCTGGTCAACCAATGTTATTAAAATCATTGAGCCTTATTGTAGGAAGAATATATTTCTGCTTTCATATAAAATGACTTCTATAGCCCGATGTATTATTTATAATTCACAGTGGTTTTTATATTCTTCCAGTCTACTACAGATTTTTCTTAGTGATTTATGTTAGGCTCTTTTAAAGCCTCGTTCATATTTATGGTTTATTCTCCCCCCAGAAAAGGTAACAATCCATTCCATGTATATGTGTCATGATAAATTTACAGACTGACAAAGGGTGGGCACAGGCAGACTTTACATAACAGGGGAAGATTGATGAACAACTGGTGATACCATTGTAAGTTACTTTTCATAAGTAAAAAATACAAAATGGACTATAGAAATAGAAATAACCTCACATGACAGAATTTTAAACAGACATATATTTCAAATGTCCATATACTGCTCATTTGCTCAGGGCAAACACAAAGGTTAGCAGTTCACATTTATAACATTCTGATGGCTAGTCTGTCATTACTGAGAACATGTTCCCACCCTGTACATTGCTTACACTGTCAGTTGCTGTCAACAATCCATAATTGTGGAAATAATACAACCTAGTTAAAAATAACTTTCTTGAGAAAAAAAAAAGGCCTATTACCTAGAATCGATGAGCATTAGCTTTTCTGGACATGTGAAATGGGCAAGAGCTGAAGGCTGGTGGGCTATGGAGACAGCAGTAGCTGCGGAGGGTGTCAAGATGACTCCTGACCCTCCTTTATGCCTGTTTGCTGGCACTGTTCTGCCCCTTCAGTCACCAGCGTTCTCCTCAGACACAACCTTCACTGCTTCTCATCACCGTACATGACACTTGCCTGCATTTTTTAGATTCTCATGGACACATTTTCTCACATTTTAACATAACTAAAATAATTATAACATATCTTTAGAAATAGTTATCAACAGTTGTTTTAAAATACAGTAAGGTACTTTTTCTTTTTTTCCTAATCTTATACTCCTTAGTATCTTAAATCAAGGAAATGAGGTATGTACTCATACTGGGGCCTGTAGGGACGATTTCTAATCTAAGCTTTATTCTTCTTCTCTCCTTTCTTAAATTTACCGTATTTATTTATTGTATGTACATTTATGTGTGTGTTTGATTATTCTGGTCTTTGTTTCTCATGTAACTTCATAGGAAAAACTGGGTTGTTCAACAAATCACAGCACATTGGACCAATTATCAGACCCTTGCCTTTTCTCAATGGTAAGAGAAAAAGGTTTAAAAGCAATGAACAATGAGAATATATTAACATTACTGAATTGTACACTTAAGATGGTATAGTATATGTGTTTGTTACAACAATTAAAAAAAAAAAGTATAATAGCAAGGCACCAACTCTCTGGAATCATCCTGGGACACAGCTCTGTCTTCTCAATTCAAAATCATTGACCTCTTTCCACATCAGTTAGCTATGGGATGCACAGGTCTACCTAGTCAAAACACTAAGCAAGCAGCATGCCGAAGGCCTTACCGAAAAAAATATCATATGTGGGGGTCCATTTCATTCTGTCCTTAGCATGGCTTTTTATTGACGAATAGTCACCATCTCAAATCCCTATAACGCTTTCTCTGACTCAAGGTTTTTAAACGAAATATGTCTGGGGATGAGTGAGAATAAAATATAAAAAACAGGAAAAAAAAGTGAAACATTTTAAATACTATGAATCTATCAAACGAATGAAAGAAAAATTCATTTGTCAAGAATGCAAGAAAGAAAATGTTATCTTAATAAGTAAAATGTTAGTAACTTATCTAAATATTTATATTAATTTGTGTTAAGTGTATTTATTTAAAATCCAAATTTAAAGCCAAAGAAAATAAGATTAAAAGAAGATCTTGCCCTAAGTTACAAGCCAGTAGGAAATCTATGTGTAGAAATGAGAAATAAATACCAGACTTTCCAGTTAAAATGTTAAGATGGTATTTGGCTAGTAGTACCCCACACAATCTCTCCCACATACCCTCTAAAAAACCTATGAGTGCAAAAGACCAAAAATAAATAAAGAGATAGATAGATCGATCGATCAATAGATAAGATAAATAAGAAAAACTCTATGTCCGAACGATCGATCGATCGATAAGATAAATAGGAAAAACTCTATGTCCACACACAATTATTGCCAGAATCTTTACGATATCTTCCACTAAATTCAAGGCTGATGGGACAAGGTCGAAACTTAATGGTTTAACTTCTGTACCAATGGAAAGTGAGTCTGCTCACTTGGAAGTAGGTATAGAAAGCCTTTCCACTCTCCCAACCAAACTGCGCACCACTCACTATTACGCAGATGGTGACCTGAGAAGCACCTTGCCCTTCTGCTTTCCACCCCACGTGAGCACTTCTTTTTCTACATCCATTAGAAACAGCACGTCAAATGAAACCAGTTTGCTAGCAGGTAGGAGAAGACTAGTAGTGGGGCTCTGACAAATAGAATTCTCTTACGTAAAAGACTGTAAATAAGGACAAAAATAATCATGGAAGATGCATTTATGTTTATTTTAACATATCATCTATTCTCTATGTATCAGGGAGTCAAGTAGAAATGGAGGTTGAAGATTCCATCTCCAGGAAATAGATTTGCATTATATGAAACTAGGAACTAAGCAGGCAAGTGTACACATGAAATTCATTTTTAGCAGTAAAACTCAGAAAATGATTTCATTAGCACCCAAATGTTTAAATAACAAGCTAAGAGTCAGTCTTCATATTCCAAAAGCTGGCAAACATTGGGTCTAGGTGAACTTCTCATTTGAAAATGAGTAAACAAGAAAAGCAAAGTGACCAAGAGATTAATTTCAAGAAACTAGAAACAAGAAAATTTCAATAAATTCTGACAACTTCAGTAGCTTTAAAGAACGCACGGCCTCCTCCAACAGTAAAAGAACTCTTTACAAAGAAAAAAGGCTGAAAGGAAAAGATACCAGGATAAGATTAAAAGTGGATAAAGGAAAGATAAGAAGAATTGCAAGGAAAATAAAAATGCTGTAACAAAAGAGAAAGCTTCAATAAAAGCAATAGGTTAATAACTTAAATTCCATAAAGTAAAACCAGAGATGCAAAAAACAAATTTAAGAAATTCTCCCAAACATAGACAGGAAAAAATGACAAAGATTGAAAAGACTGAGAACAGATGATAGATATAAAGATTTGAGAACAGAGATGCAATCCAAGAATTACAGAAACAACTTTAAAAAATATATATGTGTGCACATGGGTGCACCTGTGCATGCATGCACACACACACACATGAATACACGTGCACACACACACACACACACCCTGAAGTATATTTTCTTGCTTTTGAGGGGGAAAATGCCATGAGTAAAACAAGAGGCTACCACATTGGGGGAGGAGATTTTGACAATGAAATGACCCTATCTCGTTAGATTCAATTTGTGATGCAAATTTTTAAGAAAATAGGCCAAATAAGGAACTCATAAAAAGAACAAAAATGAGTATAGCTTTATACTTTCTGCAATACTGTATAAGAGAAGACCATGGAACACTGTCAACAGATGATTAAGGAAAAAGAGTGTGTACAAAAAAAATTCCTCAAACTTTAAAAAGCTCAGAAAACATAACTTGAGAGAGTTCAAAAAGTAAGGACCCAGTGTTTTGGAGGAGTGTGTTGGTTTCCTAGGGCTGCAACAACAGATTACTACAAACAAGGTGTCTTAAAGCAACAAAAATTATTCTCCCACAGCTCTGGAGGCCGGAAGTCTGAAATCGAGATGCTGGCATTACCATGCTCACTCTCAAGGTTCTAGGACAGGGAACTTCCTTGTCTCCTCCTAGTTTGTGGTAGTTGCTTATAGATGCATCACTTCAACCTCTGCCTCCACTGTTACATGGCATACTCTCTGTGTGTCTTTTTTTCTTATAAGGACATTAGTGATTAGATCAGGGCCCACCCTAACACAGCAGGACCTCATCTTAACCCAATTATATCTGCAGACACCTTATTTCCAAATAAGGCCACATTTACAGGTACCGGTTGTTAGGAGTTGAACATACTTTTGGGGGGTACACACGATTCTACCCACAATGTTGTAAGGGAGGGAGGGTTTTCACACATACTCTAGGCCACCAAGGATGAGCAGTAATTAGGATTGAAAGCATAAAAAGTCATGACACGAGAGGATTGGTGGGGTTTGCCAGCCTGAACGTTAGTAACCCCATCGGTTTGAGTACAGTGGGGCACACCGCAGGTCTAGGCAAAGCGTGGCCAGAGAACACTTCCCTGACTTGTGCCTTTCCTCTTCCGCCATCCACCTGCTACCACTTATTTTGACCCACAGTCTAAATATTTTATTTAGACACTTAAGACAATAGCAGTGTTACCTTTTCTATCACTTATTAATAGTGGTTCAACTATTTCAAACACATTTGGGACAACATTTCAGGAGAACTACTAAATAAAAAGTGTATTTCTCTCTCTAAAAGGGAACAGTTACGTAGAGCAACATCACATCTTTTGCCTAGAACTTGAGAAATAATTTTTCACATCTTTTGACACTCATACTGACTGACCTAATCATTAGCTTTTTAAATTAACTCTGCTCTCATCTAGGTCCTATGACTAAGCCTGTTTTAGGTATGCTTAAAAATACTTAGGATATAAACTCAACTATGCTTTAAAAGAAATCAAAAGTAAATAAACATAAGTGAAAGTTAAAAATTATCTCTGAGATGCAGGATTCTGGATGATTTTTAAATTTCATACTTTATTAGTTTTTGCTATTTTCTATATATGCCTATAATGAACACGTAACTACATTTGTAGAATGTAAGCAGAATAAAATGGCTTAAAGA